ATTTTAGAAACGAGCCTGAGACATCATTCGTCTCTCCTGTTTATTTATTTATCCTGTTATATCATTATTTTTCTTTTTTTTTTCTTTTTTTTTTAATTTTTTTGACAACAACGCTCGTATGAACTTATACATAACATATAACTGTAGCCTTGGGGAATGCACCGTCGTATTTCGTAAGGAAGATTTTTTTCGATTAAATTCTAATTACGTGAATTATATATTAACATTAACAATGTTTTATTAAATATAGAACATACAATTGAAATTCAAATTGTTATTAATTTAATCAGAATGTTATATGTGAAATTATTGGATGTACAATGCACACATTTAAAGTTTCTCTTTGTTGTTTTATTCTTTTAATTTATTATAATTTTTTCTTTCTATTCTTATATGAATTATAGAACCCAAAACTCATGGTCAATACAAAATAGATAATTGGGTATACAATGCACAGATTTAACGTTTCATTCTATGGTTCTATTCTTTTAACTTATTTTAATATTTTCTTTCTATTTTTATATAAATTAAATACTCAATTTTAAATTAATTAATTCTATATAATAATATAAATATAATACAAAAATATAATATATATATATATAATATAATTTTATAATTTATACAATAAATTATATATTTTCTATCTTTATATTAATTAGAAGCTACTTTTATATTAATTAGAAACCCAAAACTCTACACTAATTGAAATTATTATTAATTCAATCAAAATGTTATATATTACATAATTGAATATACAATACATTGATTTAAAATTTCATTTTATTGTTCTATTCTTTGAACATAATATAATTCATTCTTTCTATCTTATTATATTAATATAATTGAATTAATAAATTATTAATATAATTAATTAAGAATAAAATCTTCCTTACACATTCGTCAGTGTCTAGAGACAACATAATAATATGCACACTGCACGTTTGCACCGCTAGAAAGAAAAAGCCTCGTGATCGTTTAGCGATTGATGCCCCTTGAATGTGTCGCATGTCGTCGGAAACGAGAGCACCTAATAAGTTATCACACAATTTCGTCGAATTATTAATTATTATTCCGCGACCTTTTTTCTCTCTCCATAAATATATATATATTATATATATATATTATATATATAATCATATGATTTTAACATACAATATTATAATTCTTCTTAGGCATTTTAGTCCATATTTAATCGAATCGAATCTCATGTGACATCAATTGCATTCTATCATGAACGCTGTTTATTCATTTCATTTCACGACGAATCAATCTCTCCCGTTTCCCCCCAACCCCACCACTTTTTCGTATCATCTACTCATAAACGCCTGATCTATCACAAGATCAAGAAAAAAAAAATCAAAAAAATCTATAAATTCTCTCTAAGATTAACCTTTTAGGCATTACGCACCAATATAGTGGTTTTCACAAATGTCATCTCTCTGAACGACGCGCCACTATAGTTGCTTTCGTGGATGTAATCTTCAATTACGAGGCGTCACTATAGTGGCTTTTCGAGAATGACATTTTCAATAACTACGCGCAACTATAGTGACTTTCGCAGATACTATCTTACAGTACGATGCGTCACTATAGTGGCGCGTCACGGATAACTACTTTTAAAATATATTCTAATTAATTTTATTATTAATTATTAAACTAAATTGTTAAATTTGAAGTATGTGTGTATTATTACTTTGAAAAAAAAATTATAATATAAAAAACTGAATTCCGATGTACTCGCGTAGAAAACAGCATTGTTCATCGTCACAGATTGTAGTTGTACCGTTTACACGTAATTTTCATCGACATTTAGCGGTGCCTAAGAGGTTAATATTTAAATAATTAAAAATAAGTAGTATTTACATATAATATATGTATATACATATATGTGTGTATATAGAACTACACATATATATATGTATATGTATACCTATATATGTATATAGAAAATAGAGAGATGATCTTAAAGTACAGGGTGATTCGCGTATAAATCCTCTCGAGCTCACATTCTCTGATTAAAAAAATATTTTACTCTGTCTATACTAAATTTTATTCATAACTAATTACTGACTTCAAATGTGTATTAGTATAGGTCATAAGAGAAACTCAACGAGAATCGAAAACGTTTGAGAACGTGCCTTTGATCTTTATAATTATTTCACATATAACCCCCTATTACTACTACTATTACTATATATATTTCTCGGAATACATGTATATGTATATATATATATATAT